TATATATATTATATATATATCATAAGATTCCGATTTTTCCAAGTCAAGAGAGCAGCGCTCAACAACAACGAGTCGAGAAATGTTAAATCGAAGACAGGTAATAATAAATAAAATAGCGATTTCGCTATGACGAGGGCCCGAAATGAGTCTGACGATGAAGTAGATTGATGCTACTTATAGTGAGGATGGACACTCCTTTACTAACTTTGAGCACACAGTTTGCGAGCTCAACACTAATATCACCGCTCTGCTATCGAAAAGAATGCTCACCTCTCTGAAGAAGCTGTACTCCGAAGCAATTAAGTGCTACCTTAATAGCAGCCACTTCTACCTGAAAAAGCTCTATGGTAGTCTGGTAGCCCAAAGCCAAGCAGAGCAAAGCAGTATCTTCAGCATGATTCTGTTTGAGCCCCTTCATATACCCAGCTTCTCTGTGCTTTATAGCGGTTTCGGATGATGATGGACTGAGCATTGCTAAACTGTTAACAGTCTTTGATCAAGGACAATAGCAACGAAAAATGGATCACTTGAGACTCGGAGCATCTGTTGAAAACGTCCGTCGTCTATTCCAAACCTTTGGACATCGTTTGATAACTTCCGCGATGATTGGATAAAATAACTGTAAGTTCTTCACTTAATTAAATCAATAAAGTAAATGCATCATTACAATCCAGGTATATTAGTTTTTCCGAAGTATGTGGCATTTTAAAAAATAATCGTTAAACTTTTCTATAATTTTCGTTTGTTTATTTTTTCATTCGCGTGAGTTTGACAGTTCAAATCAGCTGTTCATTTAAAGTTGCCACGATTCTGCCATTAGGTGTTCACGTGCTCTTGCATATTTTGGTATATACCTCGTGCCATCGTGCAATCTTGCAAGAGCAAGCCATCCTTTATTATCGTTGTTATCTAACGAGAGGCACAGACAACAAGCTGTATAGTCGCATTGATCGTCCGATCGTCGTTTAGTATGTTTTAGTAAAGCTTATTCTTCTTCTTCTTGTGCTTCTATGTGTATCCTAACAAGGCCAAATTCTGAGCAGGTGATTTCAATGAAAATATCTTAGCAGACACTGCGTGGGAAAGAGTTTCCTCTGGCTTATATAGTGTCACGTTACGCACAAATTCTTAATGGGATACAAATCACTATGAGTATTCCCCACTGTCACTGTTTTGTTATTGTTATTTTTGATATTGACATGGAATCTGTATTCTTTCGTCCAGCTTGTGAAAAATTTCGTTTTTACTTTTTGCATTTAATAGCCCACTTCATTGCTTATGTAATGGTAGAATACAATTTGTATGTTATTTATGTTATTTATGCAAGCTTTCATGGGAGAAGTCCATCCGATTTTGTACATAAATCCGTCTCATCTAGAACACAAGAGGAAGATGTTATGTAGAGAGCAAGATATCTATATTTTGACTCATTTGATGCGTTGAACGGACACTCTGATATCGTGAAATAACTTTATCTCGTCTTTCTGATCATTTTGATATAATATATTTACGCACATATCTAAATATAATATTTTAGGGTCTGAGCAGCAATTGGTTTCTCTTAAATGTAACGGTTTTCGGTGTTTTGAAAATTGTTCATGTAATTAACTTTGTTGTGTGTTTTGCTTAACGGTAAATTGTGCTTTTGAATGTCGCCAGGGAGAGGTATAACAAAATACTTACCATAAAAAGCACTTAAACTTTGTAATTTAAGAAAACCTTTTTCACTTCATAAAAATCAATTTTATTTATATTTGCTTAACGTCTACGATTGACACGATTTCATGGCTTAAACACTAAAACAGCTAGAAGAACTGTGAGTATTTTGAAAGTGCAATAAAAAAATTGAAAACAATTTGAGCAAAAATAATTAACAATTCCACAGGGAACAAAACAAAAAGGTAAATGGCTGTGCAGTTGTACAATTGATAAAGAAAAGCAAAATTGTAAACATTAATTGGCACATTTTGTAAATGGCTCCAAAACAAAATAAAAAAGATAATTGAATTTGAATTAAATATATATGTAAGGTATATAAGAGATAACAAAAACCGAGCGTAAAACTGAAAATGTAAACACAAAACACTTCACACTTAGTTGGCAGTTGACAGTTGACAGCAGCTGTCAGTTGACACTTGTCACCTGACCCTTGAAACTTTTTTGCTAACAGCTTACACTAGCTTAGCGCACCTTTACAACTTCACAGCGCACCGCTACAATAGTTACCCTTCATTGCGCTTATTTCTCCTCCTCGCCGCCAGCATCATCGCCATCCTCGCCGGCGCTCGCTGGCCCAGAGAAAATGTAATTGTCACGTCCCGAAATGCCAGTGCCGCCAGCATCACCCAACCATGGATAGACATTGGGGCATTCGCGGCAAGTCTCCATGTAGCGTGTGTCCGTCAAATTCTGTTCGGGTATCTTGAAGGGTAGCGCGCAGGTATTCCAGATGTTGCATGGTTTCGGTGCAACAGCAACACTCTTGTCGCACTTCCACGATTCGATGGTGTTGACGTCACGCAACTCTTTAGGATCGGTCATGTATTGCAGCATTTGGGTGATGGTGAGTATGTAGACGTCGGGACTGCAAGAGAGAGACAAGAAAGGGAGCGAGTATGCGGTTAGTGTATGAGTTGTGCAAAGAGTGATAATGAAATCATGAGTTTACAAATGCAATAAAAGTTGTTTGGTCAAACGAAGTTTTTGCGAGAGAGAGAGTGAGGGCGGGAATGCATGTTGAATGTTGGCGAAATAACATTATGGGAGTACAAAAACAAACATTTGCATTTCCCAAAAGTAAAATAATGCATTAAGAAAGTAAAATGGTAGTTTAGTATTCAACATTTGCGTAGTAAATTTCGGGAGTAGGGGTGTTTCCAGTAGGAAATTTAGTGAGTGTTGAATACAGCAAAATTTAATTTAAATCTCTTAATACCATATTTTATCTGAGTTACCTTCATTATAAGTAAAAATAGATTCTAAAACTGTTAGAATATGACATTACAAATAGCTTTCCCTACGAACTCCGAAGAGTTTTTACCAATCATTTTGAATCAATTTTGAGCTGCTACTGACACAAAACTGGCCAAAAAATGGACCTAAAAGTTCAAGGTCTACTAAAATTGTGATGTAAATGCGAATTTATGGTTGTTTCAAATAGTAGAAGACTTCGCGCATGACTTAGGAGTTTAATTTCAATGACATGGTTATTCCCTTAATTTATCTAAGACCATCGTCCAGACGTTAAGTAATTTTTTCGCCTCCTACTTTATTTTTAGCTGATATGAGTTAACCTTAAAACTTATTTTCTGTTTTTAAATTTTATTATTGTTTGCTATCTCATTTTGTGTCATGTGGTTTCAACTGTTAACCGAGCGATAATTTTGTGTGAGCAAAACCGCAGGCTTTAGGGTGAACGAAAAATTTCCTGACGAGAAATTACGAGAAATTAACATGTGTGAAGTAATTCTTTATTAGATTTTATATAGAATGAGAGAGTTATGTTAAACGTCGGTTTCAGTATTCCACAGAAGTAATCGGGGGGTGGAAAATTGTCCATCACAATGGTTGTTATAATGTTGAAGGCTCAATAACTGACGCTGTCAAAATAGGGCAGTTGGAGTATAGGATAAGAGTCAAATATGGAATGGCTAGCCGTAAAAGGAGCCATAGTCGCTTACACGGTCAAATTTATGAGTTTAATTTGGTTATTTGTTAATAATAAGCAAGCAGTTTTTCTAGCTCAGGGTAAATCGTAAGAGGTCAAGTGAACTCCTCGCTCTCAGCAAAGTTTGCCTTTCAAAAGTTAGAGGAATTCGAACTGGACACTGCTCAATTGGGATACATGCGATAAGATGGAAAATTCTACCGGATACCGAGGTGCGTATCTCAACATTTCCTTCTGGCATGTCCCGCCTTTTTCAGATCAAGTCTAAAAGGCCTCGAATTTAACATTTTTAGACATCCAGGTGAAATAGCGGTAATAAAAATAAAACCCTTAAGCAGATTTGCGATATGTTCACGGCGCTTTGTCAAGAGACAATATCATACCGCAGTAGTTCTTATCGAGCTTCATAAAGTACTGAATTAAGCATGCTAAGGTGATCAGCCTTAAAACCAAACCTAATGACAATGTTAATCAATATTTAAAAAAAACCGGTTTGTAAGTAAAAGAAAGTTGAATTTTCTACAGCTACAATACCCTTCACAGGTCCATTTCTATACCCTAACAAGGGTGTGTTAAGTTTCCCACGAAGTTTCTAACACCTAGGAGAAAATGTCGGAGACCCTATAAAATATGTACATAATTGCTCAGCATGAATTGTTGAGTCGATTTAGCCAGGTAGCCGTCGGTCCGCCTGTCTGTATATACGCGAACTTCTTCAATTGACAAATTTTGAAACCTCCCAAGAAATTGTTCAGATCGCATAACTATAGCGTATAGTTACCATACAAACTGAACGATGGGAATTAAGTGCTAGTATTTGATGTGATATCTTTGCCATATTTTTTAATTGCTAAGTTATTTAAATTTTGGAAAAAAAATATAGGCATCACCCTAATATATGCATATCTGTATGTACATTTCATATTTACATTGTAAATAACGAAAGTTGTAGTTGTCGCTTGCAAATTAAAGCAGACATGTACAAACAAACAAATACATTTAAAATATATTTACAAACACCCATGAATACTCTATCACATGCGCATATGTAAAGTGAATTCCCAAACAGTTGGCAACAATTTGTCGCAAACTTTTGAAAGGTCAACATTTCGTCCAGCTTAAGGTCGATAAAGTGGCGCGAAGTGTTAAGTGCTGTGGACCAACTTACAGGTGTCAAACAACGAAACTTCGTAGAATTCAATTTAAATCAACTCCGACATTACAAACCACAAAAAAAAAAATAAAAAATCAAGCAAACGATTGGTATAGAGATAAATATAAAAGAGTGTGAATTAAATGAAACCCACTGCTGAGCTCGCTTGATACTTTCCATTGATGGCCACAAGCAAATAGTTACTCATACGCACTGATGTACGGACGAATCATCGATTTCCACACTCCTCCATCCTGCACTGCTGTTATTGGCACTAATTAAAAATTCCAAAGTTTCAAACAAAATAAGTAAAGTTAGCTACGCCATCGCTCGCACTACACTTCGTCTGTTCGCCGACACCTCTCTCACATACCTTCATGACGCCGTAGCACCGGGATAATTTCGAACTTACTTCGTAGTAGTAGTAATATTTTATTATGTAATTGTATGTATGTATGTGTGTGTGTTTGCGTGTATTGTATTCAATGTCTGCTGCTCACAATATTCGAATGTGTTTGTTGCTGTTGTTGTAGGCGAGCAAAACATGTATCGAAAATAATAAGGAAATCATCAGTAAATAAAAGTATATGAAAGGCTAAGCAAAGTGTTAAGGTTGATGAGCGTGTCGAATGCCGCATGCCGCATGTATTACGTTGTGTAATTTCAATGTTGATTGAAAATTATTTTAGGTTAAATAGCGGTTAACTATTTGCCGTTCCTGAAAGGATTACTTACGCAAATACTTCCGGTAATCTCCTCGCTTTTGTTGTTGTTTTATCTTAAATAGGGTTAAGTTGAAGAGTTTGTTCTAATCTTGTTTACTTGGCTACTTAAAATGTTGTTGTATTGAATTAGATTTTACGAAAGTAGTTAAGTAAAGGTAACGCAAAGCATATTGAATTTCAAATAATCTGCGGCGTATGCCCGGAAGATGCAGCATTTGCTTGAAGTTTGTTTAGCTAAGGTTGTACCTGAATTTTGTGAGTTTATGTAAATAAATAAGCTTTCGTCTTTTACACTTTGATTGTTGTTTAAAATGATAATATGGATGTTAGGTAACAAAAAATTTTTTTAAGAAGAAGGATATTAAAAAAAGTATGTAAAATTTATATTTAAAAAAGAAAATCGCATTTATTAATACTGTTGAAAAACTTCAAATATCAGCACAACTAAATAACGGTAGACTATTATACTAAAAATTAGCTAAAATTATTAAGAAAAGGCAAAAATGTATGGATGAAACATATCGAGAGAGTTTCGTGAATAACAGTGAGTAAATTTGATGAGAATAACTATTTTAGAAAATTACTGCTAAAGATAAAAGCCGCAAAAAAAAAAGAAATCATAAGAAAAAGTTAAAAAAACAATCCACATCGAACTAGAGCGGAGAAAACTATAAACTGTTCATAGTCTTAAATATAGAATCTAAAGGAGCTGGATAATTTATAAAAAGACATCTCACACATATATTAACAGCAAAATGGGCTTAAGGATAAAGAGTGTTCAATTTTTAAAACAATAGAAAGACTTGCTTTTCATGTTGCTTCTCATTTTCCCGAATTTGTTCACTATTACTTGGAAGAGTAACAGCTTATGAGTTATTGGACCTAAAACTTATTACTAACCGAACATATACCAGGTATTATAGTACAGACTTTTACTCAAAATATACTTGTTTCGAAAGCAGTGGCGGTGGACACACACACTCATAACATGTATGTTGTGCAAATATCTACTCATAGAAATGTGAGGAGAGAAGCACTGAGCATCTCGCGTAAGTGCTGTTTTCGTAGTAATTGTATGCATTTTACCACTCTTGTTTTTATTTGCACAGACTTGTGGCGATCTTAAGTATTTTTACTTTTATAACAATTACTTTGCTCTTTTATTTAAGTTTTGATTTTTCTTTGATTAGATTTCTGAGCGTTGCTTATTGATAACGGTTTTAATTTTTTAGAGTATTCTTAGCACATATATGGATTTACTATTTTTTGTAAACGACAGATAATTCATTTTTAATAATGTTTTTTTTGGAATAGAACCATTCCATTATATATTTCTATACATAAGGTTAACTTTAACGAAAAAAATCAGGTGTACAATAAATAAAGCCATGTACATATTACTATATATTGCGATCAAGCTGGTGTAATTATTTTAAGTCTAATATATATTCTAATAATAAATCTGTTTATTATTGTTAAAACAAAATGTTCGGATCCCCATTTGTTTACAAAACATATCTACATAACAGAGAAACTGCTGCGATGCACCGCAACAAAGAGTACACCGCATGCTTACTTGAGTATTTTTTCTTACTTATGTATCCAAAACGATCGGACAAAAGAAGAGCAATAAATATGCGCCAATACTTGCTGCTATAACCGCGATTGTGCAATATCTTAGAGAGTTTTCTGTTGCTCAGCATAAGTAGAAACAGAAGTAAGTTGACGTTTTGATAGCTCCTTAAATAGTAGTTCTAGGCTTTAGCAAGGTTCATACCAATTTCATACCAAGTTTAATATGATAGAATCTTAGCATCATATCCAGTTATCCTTAAGCATGCTCAGAATTGTGTCTAGAATTAGAAGACTTACTACAAAATAGAATTCATTCATATAGTTCCCCTGTAGTAGTATAAGGCAGAAATATAAGGCATGCGATTGTCTGTTTATTCTTAAAGTTAGGCACCTGATTCGTTTAAGGAGAATTACAATATTAACAAGTCGAGTTTTAGGTGCTAAAAGTATTCATTTAGTAGTTA